ATCAACATCTCGAGCCGCATGTCTGAATTGTAAATGTACTGTACATATAAAAATGCATTCGTAGGATAGAGAGAGTAGTTTTGCTGTTTCTCTTTCTGTTTGTTCTTCCTTGCTTCTAAGGAAAATCCTTTGGTGAAATTCTCAGCCAGAAACACTAGAACAAGCAAGAGCCGTTGAGCTTGTTCCAGATATTTACCCGCACATACTATGTGACGCACGACTCGCGGGGGGGGGACTGGCGAGCATTAATCGGCGGAGCAATGATCAGCGGAGCAATTACTAGCGGTACTACTGGCGGAGCATTATCAGCATTCATGCCAAAGACACGCCACGTCATCCGGCTTTGACGAGTCGCGTCGTCTAATCAGCCTGTGGCAAGAATCGGACGGAGTCGGAGTCTCGGGCTACTGTGGTACCGTGCAGTGACTGCTTTCAACACACGTGTATTGCCACGTCACGCGAAATATCCTCGAACTGAAGTGGCAATAGTATCATAAGCGCGAGATCGTGATCCGCTGTCTTCTATCGGTCAAGTGGTGCTTCGAGCCAGCGATGCGAAGGGACTGCGAAGTAAGCAAGCTCCCCCCTATTGCTGCCAGTGGAAGAACATGCATGGCTAAGTGCTATCAGGGTACTAAGCGCGGAACTTGAAATTAGTGCTGCGAAGAACTAGTCGCATGTAGTACCACAGCGCTTGGTACAAACACTGCTTTCGCGAAAGTGCTACTGGGTGTGCCCGTGTAAGTGTCACTAAGTGTTGACTACGCTTTGCGAGGCCAACGTGGACGAGGAAAAGAAAAGAAGCGTAGTTCTGCATTTCCACGGCTTTCCTATCATTCGCGCTCGGAACGGGATCTGCAGAGAAATTCACGGGTGCGAAGCGAATGGCCTTGCTGGCGCGCTGTACTGAACTGTGTCACTCCGTGACGGGATTCTTGGACAGTTCTGTATGTGTGGTGACAGCAACCTATCTTCCCTTACACATGTTCGAGAGTATTCTGTAACGGGGAGTGCAACTCGCCTGCAATGCCGCTGCTTGCCTGCTGGAAGGGAAGCGATTGGGTGGTGGAGTGGCTGCTTGTGCCTGCTTCACAGCAGGTTGTGTGTGATGTGGTTGGGTATGATTTGGTTGGATCAATAAAAAAGTGTTATGAATATTTCATGATCGAAACTGAAGGAAATTATTGTGGAGCGGTGAAGGGTTCTATCTAAAATATGGAGCTAGAAATTGTTACGAGTGCAAATTTGATTGAGCGAACGAAGACTGCAATATCGAAGCAAAACAATACAATGAGCGAAGGCATGAGCGAATTGTTGTATAGCGAAACCACTTAAGCAACAGTAACGCGCTACAGGCTTGATGCTAAGGTCGGGACGTAGGGCTGGGTCGCGTGTTACCAGCCGAGCAGGGTGGTTTGGGTGCGAGCGTCGTGGAGTGTCGAGGCGAGTGCCGCGATGTGGTAACGGGCTCTTGCTGGGTGCACTGTGGCGGGAATAGTTTTGCGCACGATATGCAATGTCACTCGAAATAAAGAAACGTTGTTTCCCCTTATAAAAGCGAGTGCATATCGCGGACGTTCCGGCTGCGTAGATACTCGGCGAGGACGTGGTGGTTTTCGATTTTGTCAAGGGTTTCCGGTTGGTAAGTGATGGGGCGAGGATGGCAATCGGCGTTCCGCTTAGCGATGATGCTCGAATTTTTTATTGCGTCTTCTGCTCGGGTCCGGGCTGGTTGCAATTTTTTGGCGAACTGTTGTGCACATGTGATGGAGTTGATGGGGTCGGCGTCATAGGTACTATCAGGTTTTGTCCGTAGTTGAGGTAGAACGGCGACTATTGGGTGGTGGAGGACGTGAAGTTATTGTTCGCGAACTCGATGAGTGGCAATTGCTACTCCCATGTTGTCGGGTCGTCGCACGTGGCTCGAATGAACTGCTCCATGGTCTGATTGGTGCGCACGGTTTAACCATCGGTTTTCGGGTGGTACGATGAACTGAATTGTAGTCACGTGCCGAACTATTGCCATAACTTCCTCCGGAAGTTGCTTGTAAGCTTCGTGTCACGATCGCTGATGATCGCTGCTGGTATTATGTGCAGGCGAACGACGGTGTTGATGAAGAGCCGAGCTTTTTCTTCAGCTGAGATTGATTTCTTGCTGGCTGCGAAATGGGCCAATTTCGTCAGCCAATCGACGATCAAGAGGATCGCATCGTTCCTGCTTGCCCCAACCGATAATCCCGTGACGAAGTCAATCTTCACCTACTGCTACGCACGCTATAGGGGTGGTATCGGCTGCAATTGTCCTGCCGGCCTTTGTCATGATGACTTCATGAGCTGGCAAGTGAGACACGATGCCACAAGTCGATGTATGTCGGTCAGCATCTCGGGCCAGTAATAATACCGCTGCAGCTGTTGTTGCGTAGTAATTATTCCTGCAGCAGGGAGTATCTCGGTACCCAGATGCGATCGGTGACGGATTTTACGTAATACACCCCTCGTGCTGCTGGAAACTGTTGCGAGTTGCCACCAGTGAAGAACGAGTATGTTTGATAACCGTGGGTGAATATTCCTATGTTTGTAAAAATCGGGCTAGGACTCGTCCTTGACTCTAAGTGAGTCGTTAACGGTATGGAACGATGGTCATGGTGCAACCTAATTTGCTCTGATTCTTCTTGGCTCGCCTGCATACACCTACCCCAAATGCACCTACCCCAGATGCACATACCCCACATACCCCATATGCACTCGTCGTGGGTTTTGTGCTTTGACTCCTCGTTGAAAAGCTTGACCAAAATCCCATGTGCACCTTCCCTAGAAAGCACCCACCCCATGTGCATCTTCCCCAAAAGCACCTACCCCTGATGCGATCGCCGTCGTCTTCGAAAAGAGGCAGCTTCCCAAAGGGCTGGTTCTCGAGAAACGTGGGCGTGCGCGACTCGCCCTTGGTGGCGTCGACAAACTCCCACTCGTAGCCCTGCGAGGGGAAGAAGGGTTGGTGGGTAGGGGAGGGGTGGGAAATTGTGAAGTTACCCGGATGTCATAATGCGATTAAGCCGCTGGTGGGGGGGGAGGGTGGATGTTGGTGTTGCGTGTTGGGAGGAATATAGGGGGGATGCAAATCCATCCTTTTGAATTTCTCAGCCTTTGTATCGTTTGTTCGCCCCAGCCCTAAACCTGGTGGCCCACCAACACAGTCTTGCGAATCATCTTGCGTCTCATCTGTTAATCTGAGCCTCGTGCCGAGATGTCGCGTCGCGTCACGTCACGTTGTGTCAACGAGTCGAAATGTAAGATGCGACATGCATAAATGCACCTGCTTCCAAACAAATTTGGGATGAGGAGCCGCGCTTAGCCACGAGTAACAAATCTGTGCTAGATATTGACAAGATTATATCGGGTTCGACCTGGTCTAAGGGCGTCGTGGTCGCACCTCAATTCTGAGTTCGTGCAGCGTCAGCAAGGCACGGCGGACGAAGGGCGAGTAGCCTATGCATTAGAGCTTCGGATTGACATAAAATAAATGGTGGAATATGTATAGATTTGGCAAGCTGTATCGAGTTTAGACTCGATATAAGGGAGCGGGACGCACCTCAATGCCGAGTTCGTGCAACGTCAGCAAGACGCGGCGGACGAAGAGCGAGTAGCCCATGCCGTAGAGCTTCAAGCTGGCCATTTGATGTGAACGCGCCGCGGCTCGGTTCCGACGAGAGTAATGCCTTTCCAGGAATAGAGCTCAAGCTCGATTTGGTTGAGGTGTCTCGCTTCCCACCCACGCGAGTCAACTCTAATACCTAGTCTGGTTTTGTGAGCGTGGATGAGCTGGCTGGTTGTGGGTGAGACGAATAGCAGATGGCGGAAGAGCAAGCTTAGTTGCTTTTAAAAGTTGATCATGCGTGTCGCTTTTTGTACCGCCATCGAAAAGGAGATGGTCTCACCTAGTCCGATAGATCCATAGGCCCTCTATCCCACCCACAGTCCCAGCCAGACCGTCGGCGTATTTTCCTTCTTCCACCGTCGTCGCGAGGAGAGGAGGAAGGGGAGGAGGGAGCAGGCGAGTGAGGCATCGCGCTCCGTGGTCATTCGTGCGTCAGCGCGATGCAAGGCGAAGCTTCAGTGCGCTTGCAGCTTGCACTCGACGCATTGAAGCTGACGTTCATTGTAATTACTGTCTAATCTAGTACGGTACATTGATACGGATATTGTCAAACTTATATGTTGCATGTTGTGTAGGCTGTAGTGGGGTAGCCCATATGGAGTACAGCCCAATTAGGGTTAGCTACTTGTACTCCTGCAAGCTGCTAGTTCATTCCATTCTCGTTCATTCTGCTGACATGGTATCTGAGCAGGTCCTCTCCTAGGACCTTTTTTTTTTAGGGCCCACCGAATCGCGCTACCCCACACGTCTCGCCGCCCTGTTAGCGCCGCGCTGCCCTGCCCTGCCCTGCGTCGCGCTGCCCGCGCACGCCCTGCCCTGCCCTGCCCGCGCGCTGCTCGCCGCCGCGCGCCCTGCCCGGCCCGCGCGCCGCTCGCCGCCGCGCCGCCCTGCCCACGCGCTGCTCGCCGCCGTGCGCTCTGCCCTGCCCGCGCGCCGCTCGCCACCGCGCCGCGTCGCTCTGCCCGCGCGCCGCTCGCCGCCACGCGCCCTGCTCTGCACGCGCGCTGCTCGCCGCCGCGCGCCCTGCCCTGCCCGCGCGCCGCTCGCCACCGCGCCGCGCCGCTCTGCCCGCGCGCCGCTCGCCGCCGCTGCTCACCGCCGCGCCGCCGCCCTGCCTGCGCACCGCTCGCCGCCGCGCCGCTCCGCCCTGCCCCTGTGCCGCTTGCCACTGCGCCGCCCTGCCTGAGCGCCGCTCGCTGCCGCGCCGCCCTGCCCTGCTCGCGTGCCGCCCTGCTGGTTGCCGCCCTGACCAGATCTGCCTGTGCGTCGCCCTGCTGGCCGCCGCTCTGCCTTGCCCTGCCTGTGTGCTGCCCTGCTGCTAGCGCGCCCGATTGCTCTGCCCGCTATGGCCACTCTCAGCGTCCTCACCTTCGATCCGGAGGGCCGCCCGATAGAGTTCGATGCGTGGCTCGACGACTTTCAGCTGTACTTACTGAGCGATTCTAGGGACGGTGTTTCACTGTTTGACGTCACGTCTGGAGCCCCTCTCGCCCCTGCCGCCACAGCTGACAGTGCGACTCGCTCACAGTGGCTTACCCGTGACGCAGCTGCTCGCCTAGCCGTTCGCAACCATCAGCCGTTAGCCGAACGCGCTCACTTTGGCCAGCACAAGACTGCTCGAGCCCTGTACGACGCTGTAGTCGCTCCCCGGCCATTGCTGCTCTAGGCCTTCTACTGCCCTAACTGTTCCCCGAGCTGTCCGCCTTTGCCACAGTCTCCGACCTCGTCACTCACTTTCGCACTAGTGACACTCGCTACCGCGAAGCGCTTCCTGCCGAGTTTCTAGCCAAGAACCCTCCTCCCATGTACATCACTCTCTACTTCATAGTCACCCGCCTCCCTCACTCTCTTAGCCCAGTCAGGGACCTCCTTCTCGCCCTTGACCCCACTGACCTCACTGTCGACCTGCTCGAGAAGCATCTCCTTGCAGCTGAGACTAGCATGCTCGATGTAGGCGCTTCTCGTGGCACTTCTCGCACTCCCTTCTTTGAGGGGTGTTCGCCCTCCCCCCCTGTCCCCTCAGTAGCCTCTGCTGCAGCTGTTGACTACCTTCGTGCTGAGGAGGTAGGAGCTGCGTCTCCCCCTAGTGGGAGGCGCCGCAACAGCAGGGGCAAGGGAGGCAGGGGTGGTGGGGGTGGCAGCGGTGGAGGCGGTGGTGGGGGCGGTGGTGGCGGAGGGAGTGGTGGTGGGGGTGGAGGCGTAGGTGGCGGCGGCGGTGGCGGCAGTGGGAGTGGTGGCGGCGGCAGTGGTGGCGGCAGTGGGAGTGGATGCGACGGCGGTGGTGGCGGTCGCGGTGGTACCAGTCAGAGGGGAGGCTTTGGCGGTGGTCACAGGCAGCAGCAGCAGCGTCAGCGTGAGACCCCTACGCCCCAGGAGCTTCGTGAGTAGTTTGCTCAGCGTGGGGCGGCTGGGGGTAGTGGTCGTTGCCCGTATGTCATTCGCACAGGTGACCGCTCTGGTCAGACATGCGGGAAGTTTCACACGCAGCACCGCTGCTTCTCCAGTCTTGACGACGCCTTTTGCGTAGAGTTTCCCAACGCGACTGAGCTCCTCCGCTGGGCAGAGCTGCTTAGGCACGGTGTGGATATCTTTGCTCTTGATTATGATGCTATCCTTGCTGCCATGTATGCCTTGACTGTTAGTGCTGAGGGTGACTGTTACCTGTGTATGCCGCCCGACCCAGGTATAGAGGCTGCTGCTCTAGGTGCTAGTGAGTCTGCGCTCTCTGGTACTACGCCTGCTGTGACCTTGCACACCTTCACGCTTGACTAAGGTGCTTCCCGCTGTTTCTTTCGCGACAGTACCACAGTCACACCACTCCCTACACCTGTTGCTGTCTCTCTGGCTGACCCCTCTGGGGGCCCAGTCCTTGCATGTTCCTCGACTCTTCTGCCGTGTCCGGCGGTTCCGTCTGACTCACTGTCAGGTCTTCACCTCCCCTCGTTCTCTACGAACTTGGTGAGCAACGCCGTCCTTCAAGATGAGTGGATTGATACCTTCACCCCTGGAGGTCAGCGTGTGGCGATCTGTACGTGCTCCCGGACTGGCCGGCACATGGCCACGTTCACCCGTCGGTCTGGGTCGAATCGGTACACACTGACTATTGAGCCTCCCCAGGTAGCTGCGTTTGCGTCTGCGTCAGGTCAGCTTGCGCCCACGTTCACCCGTCAGAGGTGGTGAGTTTTCCTCCGACCTCTTGCGGGAATTTTGTCGTGGGAAGGGCATTCGCCAGTCGTTCACGCTTCCGGCCTCTCCGCAGCATTGGCTTAGTCATGGAGGTCGCTCGTACCTCCGTGATCCATGCGGCCGCTCCCCATTTTCTGTGGCCGTTTGCGGTCCGGTACGCTGCGCATCAGCTCAACCTCTGGCCCTGTGTTTCCTTGCTGGAGACCTCACCTACACTGCGTTGGACGGGGAAGGTTGGCGATGCGTCGGTGTTCCGGGTCTGGGGCTCTCGTGCCTTTGTCCGCGATACATCCGCGGACAAGCTCTCCTCCCGCGCCTTTCCCTGCGTCTTCCTTGGCCTTCCCCCTGACGCGCCTGGCTGGCAGTATTACCACCCCATCTCGCGCCGTGTCCTGCCCTCTCAGGGCGTCACGTTTGACGAGTCGGTTCCCTTTTACCGTCTCTTCCCCTACCATACTGCCCCTCTCCCCCCCCCCCCCCGCCGCTCTTCCTCGCACCAGGTCCTCCTCCGGTAGACCCCCTCCCCCCTCAGGGTCCTGCTCCCTCAGGTGTGTCTCAGGTAGACCTTTTCGAGCCTGTCGAGGTAGCTGTCGACTCTGGTGCTGCTAGGGGTGCTGCGTCTGGGGGTGTTGAGCCTGAGCGTGCGGAGCCTGGGGGTGCTGAGCCTGAGCGTGCGGAGCCTGGGGGTGCTGAGCCTGGGGTTGCTGAGTCTGAGGGTGCGAAGCCTGGGGGTGCTGAGCCAGGGGGTGCTGAGCCTGGGGGTGCTGAGCCTGGAGGTCCTACAGGTGCCTCGTCACGGCGGGAGCCTCTCTCTCCACCGCAACTGCGCGAGTGGTTTGCTCGGCGCTGGAGCCTTCGGAGTGGCGCTTCTGGAGTTGGGGGGCCTGCCGCTAGAGGCCCTGGAGCTGGAAGTACTGGAACTGCTGGAGCTGGAGTTGCTGGGGGTGCTGGAGCCGCTGGTCCCGGAGGTGCTCGTACTGGAGGTACTGGAGCTGTTGGAGCCGGTAGTACTACATGCGTTGGAGCTGGAGGTGCTGGAAGTGCTGGAGCCGCTGGTCCCAGAGGTGCTCGTACTGGAGGTGCTGGAGCTGCTGGAGCTGGAGGTGCTGCAGGAGTTGGAGCTGGAGCCGCATAAGCTGGAGCTGCTGGAGGTGCTGGAGCCGCTGGTCCCGAAGGTGCTCGTACTGGAGGTACTGGAGCTGCTAGAGCTGGTGGTGCTGCAGGCGTTGGAGCTGGAGACCCTGGAGCTGCAGGTGCTGGTCCTGGGGGCGCTGGTGCTGTCGGTGCTGGTTCTGGAGGCACTGTGCGGCCGCGACCGTACTCCGTTCCACTGCTTCAGCAGGTTCTTGGTCTCCCGCCTTCTACTGGCCTTACTCCTCACTTACTGTGTCCATCGCCTGACCAGTCGCAGCCGCAGTTACAGCCAGCCTCCCCACTGCCTGCTCCTTTGCCTTACACTGAGCAGACAGGATGTCTTACAGAGCGTCGTGAGTCCGCGTCTCGTCCTGCGTCGCCTGTTCGCGCTGTTCGCACTGGTCGTTGTGTTCCGCGTCAGCGTCCTCCTCCTGTCCCCGGCACGCACCAGATGGCACTTCCTTCTTCCTCTGTTCCACAGCGTGTCCCTCTGCCGTCTCCTCCTGCGTCCTCTCTTCCTGGCATCCCTGACCCGCCGTCAGACCTTGCTCCTGCTGCCAGTCCTACTGTCACACGTCTTCTAGCCACTGTCGTCACTGACCCTTCGTTTGAGTCCACTGCTGTGTTTTCCCTTGTTGCTGAGCTTGTGACTTTGCTGTCGCCTTTCGCCTCGACAACGCCGCTAGTCTTGTTGCTGAGTCTGAGTCTGTCTGCCCTCCGTCCGTCGAGGGTGAGTGTGCTCTTGGCACGGACGTCCTTGAGGACAGGCAGGAGGACTTTGAGTGTTTTGCAGCTGCTTTACCTCATCTCGTGTCCATGCTGATTGCACTTGAGGGAGACCCGGATGCACCAGATATCCCGACCCCGCGCTCTTATGCAGAGGCGATTACGGGTCCCTACTCCTCTCAGTGGCAGACAGCCATGGATGCAGAGATGGCATCCTGGAAGTCCACAGGCACTTACGTCGACGAGGTTCCCCCCCCTGGGGCGAACATAGTCGATGGCATGTGGATTTTCAGGGTGAAGTGGCCGCCAGGTTCTCCGCCTGCCTTCAAGGCTCGTTACGTTGCACGAGGCTTCAGTCAGCGACAGGGAGTTGACTTCTTCCAGACCTTCTCCCCTACCCCGAAGATGACCACTCTTCGGGTACTGCTGCACGTCGCCGCTCAGCGTGACTACGAGCTTCACTCTCTTGACTTTAGCACAGCTTTCTTACATGGCAGCCTGCACGAGGAGATCTGGCTGCGCCGCCCACCTGACTTCACTGGGTCGTTTCCTGCAGGTACCAAGTGGAGCCTCCGGCGGCCAGTCTATGGTGTCTGCGAGGTGCCTCACGAGTGGCACGACACACTGAGGACGACTCTTGCAGCTCTTGGGTTTGCTCCTTCGACTACTGACCCGTCTTTGTTTCTACGCACCCACACTTCGCTGCCGCCGTTCTACATCCTCGTGTACGTCGACGACTTGGTCTTTGCCACTGCTGACACTGAGGGGCTGGCCCTATTGAAGTCGGAGCTGCAGAAGAGACACACGTGCAAAGACCTGGGTGAGCTGCGTAGCTATCTTGGCTTGCAGATCACCCGGGACAGAGCACGGCGCACCATTACCTTGACTCCGTCACACATGGTGCAGCAGGTCCTTCAGCGCTTCGACTTCCAGTACTCCTCGCCAGAGTCCACTCCTCTGCCTACCGGTCACTCGCTCTCAGCTCCACATTCGGACGAGTCCGTAGAGCCGAGTGGCCCGTATCCAGAGCTTGTGGGCTGCCTCATGTACCTGATGACCTGCACTCGACCTGACCTTGCTTACCCTCTTAGCATCCTTGCACGCTACGTTGCGCTAGGGAGACACCTACCAGAGCAATGGAAGGTCGCTAAGAGAGTGATGCGCTACTTGTGCAGTACGTTGGGCATGGGGCTCGTGCTTGGAGGACGGGGTCCAGTTGTCCTCACTGGACACGCACACGCCTCTTGGGTTGACGACTTGGCTACGCAGCGGTCGTCACAGGGTTACACTTTCAGCCTTGGCTCCGGCTCTGTTTCTTGGCGGTCTACCCGCTCGTCTTCTATTCTCAGTTCCAGTTGTGAGGCTGAGATCTACGCATGGGCCATGGCTGCACAGGAGTTACGCTGATCGACTTGGGAGAGCCGCCTCGTTCTCCTCTAGTTGACAACAAGGCCATGATTGCCTTGTGTCAGGAGCACAGACTAGAGCACAGGACAAAGCATATCGCTCTGCGTTACTTCCTTACTCGTGAGTTGTAGCAGCGTGGTCAGATTCGTCTTGTTTACGTGGCCTCTTGGGCCAACACTGCTGATATCTTCACCAAGGCACTTCAGCCTTGTGATCATCAGCGTTTCTGTACTGTTCTAGGCCTTGTGCCTACTTGGCCTCACTTGCTCACTTCTTGAGTTTGCTTGTACTGTGATCTATATACTTATACCTGCATGCTTACACTTGCTAGGTTTTCATCACTCTACTGCTTGTTCTGCATTATATAACTCTGCATGTGAACTGGCCTTGTGGCCATTTGCTTGTGCTCAGAGTGTGTGGTGACTTTGTGATCCACCCTGAGCTTGCTTTGACTGGTCTTGTGACCTCTTGTTCTCCCCCACTTTGCTTATGGGGGTGTGTCAAACTTATATGTTGCATGTTGTGTAGGCTGTAGTGGGGTAGCCCATATGGGGTACAACCCAATTAGGGTTAGCTACTTGTACTCATGCATGCTGCTAGTTCATTCCATTCTCATTCATTCTGCTGACAAATATGCCTTACGTTATTCTTTTTACCAACTCAGAATTATTTTTCATATTGTTTTTTATGCAAGATTTATCAACGCTTCAAGCATGGGAAACAAAAGGGTTAGCAGTTAACTCGACGCCTAGGTAGAATGATGAGGCAGGAAAGATTGCACTAGGATGAATGAGAAGTACAAATAATGCTAACCCCAATGGGTTGTACTCTGTATAGGCTACCACACTAGAGCCTACACAACATATAAGTTATTTTGACAGATGCATCCCTTCCCGCTGTACAGAAGAAGTATAAGTCCCAGAACAGCTGCTGTTACCTTATGTGGCTGAATCACCTCCTCTCTGCCTCCACCACACCCCACGACACACCATTGCCACTGCTGATGCTTCTGTTTCCTCTACATTCCCCACTGCTACATCTGTTGCTTATTTTGCTGCTCATGCTCTTGCCAAAGAAAGGAAGAGAGCCACAGAGCATCCTGAAGAGCACTCCACACATTGCTTTCAAGGTCGTACGACTCAGAAAACACTCTGAAGCCATGTATAGTCGTGCACCCACCCCACCACCTCGAGCGAGCCTAGCAGCCACACCAAAATCAGTCAGCTTGGATCTGCATTATTCTCCTTATTAGCATGATTCGATAGAAGGATGTTCTCGGGATTGGAGCCTCGGTGCACGACGGTGTGCGAGTGGCAGCG